GCCACCTTGATTGATGTTACAGAGACATTTAAGTAAATGTTAGCCAGAACAAAGCAGACGTTATGACAATACTCCAGTAAGGTCTTTATTCAGTCATGGGCCACAAAGTTATACTTGAGTGCCATCAGTTAGCAACATAATTTTTCCCTTCATGCACCAAAATGTCTTCTTCAAATCCCTACAGCCTCTCCTTGTGGATAAATAACTGAGATTACATCAGCTATATCATCAATAGCTTGCAACATACGTATAGTATCTGCTGACCTCCATTTTGAGTTACTCCCCAAAGTAGATCTTACAGTAATGGAGTAATTTTATTTGAAATAACGAAAGGTGAAAAATCGAGAATAATTATTGAAGATTACCTGAATATGAACAGGAACAATATACTGCTCCTGAGGAGTCATCAGAAAATAATACTGTATCAATACCACATAAATTTTGCAGCAACTGAATTCACATTACTCGGGCTTGTATTCTGATAACAAGGTATATTAACGATTGGCTGGAAGGATGCAGTACTTTACCTTACCCGAAAGTAGCGTTGACGATATCATGGTTATTGTGACTAGTACTTTAGGTCAAACTCTGAAGAGAATAATAAGGAGGGCAGTTGTGGTTCATTCGGTGCTCGAAAATACTGGGAGGAGTTCAAATGACAACCAAATGTATTCCACGGCAAATAATTACTTTCGATATAGCCCAAAATGATACACTATTAATGAATGAATGGCGTTTTCAGCACAATTTATTGTTTACGATCATATCAGTGTATCTACACGATTTCCTAACATGATTTACACAGTTTTATTCCCTCTTGTTTTTCCAGTGTTACTTTGCATATTCTCCGAATTGCTGCTACGCCATTTGTATCCCAAGGATTAGATGCTGAATCCTTGGAAAAGATTCAATAATTAACCTCTCCCCCGCCACGATTGCACTACTTCTCAATACTTGAAATCTATCTCACCATATTGAATGCAAATGCATCCATGGCAGTAACCGATAACTTTTCAAACTAGTGTGACAATCTCCATTATGGATAAGATTTTATTTTGATAAATCACACAGTGTTATACAGTAGTGTGACAATCATCCTACATATAGCTGAATTATTATGCTGTCATGGTCTAGCCGACCATAATCTGATGATTTTACATAAATAATTAACTGCACACTCACTACATAGTATTTAGTATATTTCTTTTTTCCCAGTAGGGTCCTATAAACAGAGTGAATTTGTTGATTTAACTTTAACCTTAATTCTAGCCCGATTAAGAGTTCCCCAAAGGTCTTCTGATTTTTCTTTCATATCTGTAAGATCTTCCGTAGTTGACTATGGGAGCTTTAACTCAGGAAGTATTCATGCTATATTCATTACTTTCATTATTGTCCGTCTTTTTCTAATAGGTCCTACTAAATTTTTGAATTAGTTCTACTGGGTAGTTATTTCACCTCAACAGTAAGGAAAAATTAAACGCACTAAAAGCCTTCTATTCCCAACTGCTGATGAATATATCTGCAGCTGTTGCAGATACTGGTGATCACACTGCTAACCCTATGTCTGTTTACTTTAGAAGTCTGTATATGTCCGACTTAATTAACGACCTAGTGTTATTTCTCCACCAAGTATCTTATTTCTGTATGAATCTAGCATTATTGCCTCGTCAAAATCTGGCTGCTTCCAGAGCTATGTAATTGGAGTGTTGGCGTGCAAAGTTATCACGTGACAAGTTTACTAAACGTTATGGCAATGCCGAAAATTTCCACAGTTTAATATGCTTGAGATATAAATACGAGAGCCGAATAAGAATCCTGAAACATGCTTAATATTATTTACACTGAACAAAATTGCTGCTTGAGGCTTTGCATTTATATTTTGATACTTTATTAGACAATGAGCAGTTAGGATGTCTTAAATGCAAATTGAAACCGTGAGAAAAAACAAGTGAACTCCAACAAAGGAAATAAAGCCAAAATTGTTCTTACTTTGTTTCACAAGACGCATACTGTTTAATACATTTAAGTCGTTTCCGCATAGAAGTTTCGAATAATTTCCTAAACAATTGCAGAGCTCAAGGTCACATATGAAACATCACAACAAACATGAGCAAATAGGATGATATACCGTCAGTACCAAGACTTTTTGAGCTTTAGAGGGTTTTAATAGTTTGGTTAATGTTAGCATAAGTGAATTCAACAGCACTAATTTGTTTTGGTGTGAGTGGAGATGGAGTTTGTGCCATATTAGTAGTAGGGTGTATATCGAGTAACGCGAATGTAGGCCTTAGGTAGTTAGCTGCAAATAATTTGTTCAGTAATTCACACATGTCTGCAGAATCAGTGCATAGCCTGTCTTCGTCTATGAGGAAAGAAATGCTGTGATTTTTGCGGTTCATTCGCTCCTTTAAGATATCTGTGAGAGCATACGCTCTAGCAGGACTGACTACTTTGGTGCGTTGTTTGTTTCTCATGCGCAAATTTCGAGCTGGTGAGATGGAGCTAAGAGCGTTAAGTAAAAAACATAGTGTGCCAAAGTCGTAGTATTTGAAGTAAGTTGTAGAGAGTCTCTTCAGTTCCGTACGATCCTTTAGTTTCATAAGTGACTTTCTATGTAGGAAAACCTTTAGCGTTTGGAGTGGGATGACAGCATCCAAGCATGTGTTTGAGTTATGGCAGAAGATGCTCAGAGCTCTCGAAAGGTCATCAGTGATGAAGTATTCGCTCCATTCGGAGGATCTTAACATTCATTGTACGAAGGCCCAGTTTGCCTTACTATAGTTCCTGTATATTACTTGTTGTGAAGTGGAGGTGTGAGCTGCATTGCTACTCAGTGCACACATCACTGTTTTGTGGTCACTACCTGAAAACTGAGAACCCACTAAGATTGAGAGGGGACTTATATCGTGACAGAATATTGAGTCCAATACATTATCACCTCTTGTAGGGGTAGTGACAGTTTGTTTCCAGCCGAAAATGTCCAGTGTGCCTAAGAGCTTGTCATATTTAGTTGGGCCTGTTTATAAATCCCAGTTGATTTCGGGTAGGCTGAAGTCTCCACATATGAACTTATGCTCGTATGGAAGGTTGAATACTTACTCTACTACTTTAGTGAGTTCATTATCGCAGTCACTAAAGGTGCCAGGTGCTCTGTAGACACATCCTATTAGCAGTGTAGCACTTTTGAATTGGACGTTGACCCATAGGGTGTCGTGCATGTCATTGGGTTCCCTGTTTTCTAGCTGTAATACAGTGTATTCAGGAAGTACATTAGGCAGCCTTTTCCCTTACCACTGTTCCTGTCACATCGAAAGTGTGTGTACCCATCGATGCTAATCTCTTCGTCTGGTATATTGGAGTGACACCAGGATTCGGTAATACTAATTATTGGTGGTTTGTATACCAGCGCGTGTGCCCTGAGCATCAGTAGTTTGTTCAGGATAGATCTAGCATTAATAAGTATTAAGTAGAGTTGAGATTTCAAGTAGTGTTTGAAGTA